TTAAGTGAGTATAATCAACATAATCCAAACCAATCTGTAAACCTATAGATTTAGACATTAATTGGTTATCAAGCATTATTAAAGAGTCACAAATAATCTTAAGTCATATGAGTGGCTAAAACAGCATTATAGGTATCCACTATATTATTGGATATTTCTTGAGAAGGGTATATTAAGAAGGCATTTTTCAGCCTTTACTCCATATTCAACAGAGATATTTTCCAAAAGCATAGAAGTATAAGCTAACGCTTAAGGCAGAAGTGATAATGAATTAATAGTTTGCCAACACTTTTGACTTATTTCTTACTTTATCTAAACCTTTATCAATTATTTCTTTTCCAATTTTATAAGAAGCTCTACAATAATTTTTAGCTGCTTCTGCCATCCCTATGATAACAATGTTTAGAGTTAGATGTATTATTAATTTATTTATTCTTTTTGATTTCGTTTATCATTCGATCATCACAATCCGTAAAGAGTGCTAATAGATAATTATAATTATAACTTTTTATTGTAAATATAATTCTTGAAATTTTTATCAATGTATTCCTTTTTTATACAGTTTCCATAATACATTCCATATAATTAATTACTCCGCTCCCTCTACATCAAGATAAATAGCAGAGCATATCATAATTATAAAATAATGAATCTTAATTTTACAAAAAATAGTATTGCTAATTTTAGGGGATGATTGAATAAATTTAATATTTTATAAAATTAATTGTATTAATCTTTTACTTAAAATTGTTAGGATTATCAAATCTATTATAAATTTTTATTCTCTAAGTTAAACAACAACTTTAATATCATAATAAAAAGAGTGACAAGTGAAATTATATAGTTATATTCTCAAATATCTACATAACTTAGTCTAATTAAACAGGCTATCTAATTTAAAATTTCTTCTTGGAATGCTAAGACAATAAGACTCATCTTTGTCATCACTTTCTGAAATAATTATTGGAGGATGTCAATTTTATCATTTCAAGTATATTACTATTTGAGCCTTATTTAGCATTTTATTTTCTTTAAAATAAATCCTAAAGTAATTCATAAATAGATTCTTATAAAGATATTATATTAATGCAAACTGAATCATAATATAAGCCATAATCAAGTGACCTTTTGAATGCTAAATTAAGTCTTTCTACTGCTGAAATTAAATAATATCTTAATGAATTCTATTATTAATTTTATATAATTGTAATAGCCTATTGAGAATAAAGAATAATAAGCTTCTATAACTAACTTATTTTTCTCATTTTATCAGTTATTTAATCTAAAATTAAGCTAACAAAAAAATTAAATTATACCTTCAAATATCTGCCAAGTATTCCTGCTATTACCCCTTCTATTTACCATTATATTTTAGCTTTTTAGACTTCATAATTCATTTCCTTTGCTTAAATGAATTACATTTTAAATTTCTGACTTTATTCCTTTATTGATTATTACACCTCTTATACAGTATCTGACTTAGTTTCTATTAATTTTCCTATTTATTTGAATAGGCATCCCTTTTTTTAGTAAATGTCAATTCATAATTGTTATTTGAATTGCCATGTATCAACAATTTATTCTCATCTTAAAGTAATCTTCTATGCTATCAATTTTTAATAATATAATCCTATTTTTTTTAAAGGAAATAAACAATGGAAGGGTATTAGCAACTTTGATGAAATTCACCCAGCCATTTAAAAAAAAAAAATATTCATAATATTTATTTTATTGGGTATCACACAGCAATTAGGAGAAGTTATAGTTCTTAGCACATCAGTCAAGAAAAATGAATTGTCAAGAATATTACTCAAATTAAATACAAATTAAATTATTCATCTTAAAAATTCATTTTTCTATACTATTTAAAAAGAAAGCAATGCATATGTTTGAGATGATTTCTCAATAGTTTAATTTACCTCTTAAATTATCAATTTGAAATCTGCACAAAGTCTGAACTTCTATTTTACTGAAATGCACAAGATACTTTAATGATTTTGCAGTATATAACTTTAAGTTAGAGTGATAAAAATTAATTATTAAAAATAAAAAAGAAATGCAAGGCTCTTTTTTAGAGAAGAAAGCTTTAGCTGACATCTTTGGTAAAATAAAAGATGTAGATGAGCAAATGTTTGGTTTAATATTAGAACAATTAAGAAAAAAAAAAGTTTAAGACTGTATTGGATATCTTTCAGATAACGTGAATCAAAGGCAATTAGAATCATAAATCTTACAAAAAGCAGTTGATATAACCCAGGCTGATAAAGAATAGAAAATGTCTGTTGTTATAAATGATATCAAATAAATCACAGAAGTCTTAAGAAAATTAAAAGACCATGACTTCAATAAGTTAGACTATTCTTGTGAAGAAAATGAAGAATTTACATAAAGTATAATTCATAGTATCAAGGATAAATAATGGATCATTGTATTTCTGTAATTTTGGTTCACATCACATCCATTGATAATTAGTTGGTATAATGTGGGTCTAATTCATTATATATATTAGTTTAGATGAAGGTGGACCTTAAAAACAAAAATTTTGAAAATATTAAAATCAAAAATATTTCCCTAATAGGAGCTAATTTTTTTATGTGTAATTTAAGTGGATCCTAATTTAATAATGTGAACATAAGTGGATTAAATTTGAATGGTGCTTAGATGTTCAATTGTAAATGGAAGAACATTAAAGTAAATGAATTGAATAAATTGCATGGTCATATTAGCACTGTCTACTCAGTATGTTTCTCTCCTGATGGAAATACATTAGCTTCTGGTAGTGGTGATAAGTCTATCCGTCTATGGGATGTCAAAACTGGGCAATAAAAAGCCAAATTAGATGGTCATTGTACAACTGTCTAATAAGTCTGTTTCTCTCCTGATGGAAATACATTAGCTTCTTCAGGTGTTACATAATGTGTTTGGTATAAAGTAGGAGGTAACGATACTTCTATCCTTCTGTGGGATGTAAAAACAAGAAAATTGATAACAAAATTAGATGGTCATGACTAGTAAGTTAATTCAGTCTGTTTCTCTCCTGATGGAATTACATTAGCTTCTGGTAGTGGTGATATGTCTATCCGAATGTGGGATGTGAAAACAGGATAATAAAAAGCCAAATTAGATGGTCATAGTAATTCTGTCTACTCAGTCTGTTTCTCTCCTGATGGAAATACATTAGCTTCTGGTAGTGGTGATAAGTCTATCCGAATGTGGGATGTGAAAACAGGATAATAAAAAGCCAAATTAGATGGTCATAGTAATTGTGTCTACTCAGTATGTTTCTCTCCTGATGGAAATACATTAGCTTCTGGTAGTAGTGATAAGTCTATCTGTCTATGGGATGTCAAAACAGGATAATAAAAAGCCAAATTAGATTGTCATAGTAATTGTGTCTATTCAGTATGTTTCTCTCCTGATGGAAATACATTAGCTTCTGTTAGTGATGATAAGTCTATCCGTCTATGGGATGTCAATACAGGATAATAAAAAGCCAAATTAGATGGTCATAGTAATTATGTTAGATCTGTCTGTTTCTCTCCTAATGGAAATACATTAGCTTCTGGTAGTGGTGATAAGTCTATCTGTCTATGGGATGTCAAAACAGGATAATAAAAAGCCAAATTAGATGGTCATAGTAATTTTGTCTACTCAGTCTGTTTCTCTCCTGATGGAAATACATTAGCTTCTGGTAGTAATGATAAGTCTATCCGTCTATGGGATGTCAAAACAGGATAATAAAAAGCCAAATTAGATGGTCATACTAGTACTGTCTACTCAGTCTGTTTCTCTCCTGATGGAAATACATTAGCTTCTGGTAGTAATGATAAGTCTATCCGTCTATGGGATGTCAAAACAGGATAATAAAAAGCCAAATTAGATGGTCATACTAGTACTGTCTACTCAGTCTGTTTCTCTCCTGATGGAAATACATTAGCTTCTGGTAGTAATGATAAGTCTATCCGTCTATGGGATGTCAAAACAGGATAATAAAAAGCCAAATTAGATGGTCATACTAGTACTGTCTACTCAGTCTGTTTCTCTCCTGATGGAAATACATTAGCTTCTGGTAGTAATGATAAGTCTATCCGTCTATGGGATGTCAAAACAGGATAATAAAAAGCCAAATTAGATGGTCATACTAGTACTGTCTACTCAGTCTGTTTCTCTCCTGATGGAAATACATTAGCTTCTGGTAGTAATGATAACTCTATCCGTCTATGGGATGTCAAAACAGGATAATAAAAAGCCAAATTAGATGGTCATACTAGTACTGTCTACTCAGTCTGTTTCTCTCCTGATGGAAATACATTAGCTTCTGGTAGTAATGATAAGTCTATCCGTCTATGGGATGTCAAAACAGGATAATAAAAAGCCAAATTAGATGGTCATAGTAATTGTATTAACTCAGTCTGTTTCTCTCCTGATGGAAATACATTAGCTTCTGGTAGTGATGATAACTCAATCCGTCTATGGGATGTCAAAACAGGATAATAAAAAGTCAAATTAGATGGTCATAGTGATTGTGTTAGATCAGTTTGTTTCTCTCCTGATGGAAATACATTAGCTTCTGGTAGTGATGATAACTCAATCCGTCTATGGGATGTCAAAACAGGATAATAAAAAGGCAAATTAGATGGTCATAGTGATTTTGTTAGATCAGTTTGTTTCTCTCCTGATGGAAATACATTAGCTTCTGGTAGTGATGATAACTCAATCCGTCTATGGGATGTCGAAACAGGAGAATAACAAGCCAAATTAGATGGTCATTAATATGCTGTCATGTCAATCTGTTTCTCTCCTGATGGTAATACATTAGCTTCTGGTAGTGGTGATACGTCTATCCGTCTTTTTGATGTCAAAACAGGATAAGAAATTAAATCCTCTGATAAAAACTACAAAGATATTCTTGCTTAATTTAAGATTCCCCTCCAATAACATAGCCATATTTTCAAAGGTATCATATTTTTAGCCTACAATTACCTTACTACTCTCATTATATCCCAAAAAGCAATATTTCAAGCTAAATAAGCTTTAATTCTAAAAGGAGAGTTTATGAATCATTCAGGTATCGATTTAAAGACATTGTTTGAATAAAAAGGAAGTTACTTTATAGAAGATTTATAGAAAAAGTGATTTTGATCATTATCAAACAACAATTATATTTACAATCAATATCTTCTTTTTAGTTTTAATTCTGTCTTAATTAGTATCTTACTTAATCTTCCCTTTTAAAGCTAGGTAAATTCTTATTTTTTAAAGATTTATTGTATTAAAGTTATATATAGGGAATTATTTTAGAATTGTCATAATAACTGATATCAATTAATATTTTTATAGAGATTAAATTATAAATGATACTACTTTTAATTAATAATCTAAACAAAGAACAGTTAATGAAGTGTTTAAAATAATGATCAATATAATTACTTAAAGAAAACTAATTTTACACTAAATTCTTTTAAATCATCGAGGATGTAATATTGTTTAGAATAGGGATTGATATTAAAAAAAAAAATTAATAATTTTGTATGATTAAGTTTTAATTCATAAATCGTATTTTATTAAAAAGATAATAAAAAAGATACTTAAAGAATTCAAAAAAAAACTTAATCTTATAAATAATCTAATCTATAACAAAATTAAAACATGAGATTGAATGGTTTTTAAAATTGCTCTACTCTATTTTTACTAATACCTTTATAACCTATTCTATTGATATTAAAAGTATTAAATAGTATAAACGACTGTAAAGATACATTAATTATCAAGAAGTATTATATCCCATAAAAGGATTAAGATTTAAGGAGATATTTATTATATTTTCCCTAACAAGTTGATGTAACTATCTTGTTCTTACTCTGTTTATATTTACTAAACTCACAAAAACATATTCAGGTTATCAAGAATTCAAATTATCATTTTCAGAAAAGTACGTTTGAATGCTAATGGGATTAGGGAAGATTAATTTCTTCAGATGATTGTTTTTATTTTGGAAAATGCAAAAGATAATGATATGATGTTGAAATTAAACCCATAATCTCTATCACAACTAAACTGAATGATGTAGCTAAAAAGAAATTAATCTATTTCAAAAGTAAAATTTCAAATCCTGTACTAAAAGTAACAATCAAATGCGAGAATATTGTCTTTAAGAAAATACCTTACTCTCTAATGAAGCAAGGTTAGTATTAAAATCTCCTAAGAAAATGTCAAATCATTAAACATCACTTATTTTGAAAACAGCCCTTCTCGGTAAAATTGTGATGTATATCATCTTGATTGTAAGTGGTATAGCTTCTTTATTTGATAATCTAGAAATTTTATGGAATCTCCTTGATATACTATAATAATTATCATATATGAAATTTCCAGAAAACTTATAAATCTAGTTAGAAATATATAAAATTGGTTCTTTTACTCCAATAATTTCTTATAAACAGATATATATTTACAAAATTTATTTGATTGTCAAAATTCCAATCATACCAGCTAAATGGATATATCAAGAGTATGAAATAATTGTTACTTTTTGTATAACTTTTTAACATTAGTCACTCTAAGTATATTTGGATTTGCTTATTTTTAATTTCATTTTGCTTCTATAAATCCTTGTTGTTATTTCAAATTACAATTGACCTGCTATTTTTTACAGTAGTAAATCAGAAAGCTTATTTAAAGTTGTCAGATCTATTTTCTCCTTATAGAAATTGGAAAGAAATAATATTAGTAATTTACATACTCTGGATTAATCAGAATCCTTACATCTTACTTTTATGAATTAACTTTTGCATCAATTTTATAAATTGCCAATTACAATATTGATACTACTTTAAATGCAACCATTCATTATTAGCACTAATTACATTTCAATTAAATCTAATCCTCATAATGTTATTTTTTTCTTATTTAAGTAAAAAAGATAAAGTAAACAAAAAACTATCTGGCTTAGTGGAAGGAATAAATGTTGAATAAGGATCTAAACAATATTTTACTATATTGTTGATAAAAAAAACTTTAATCATTGTTAATTTAGTTGTATTATAAGAATATGCGGCTGCTTAGAGTTTAATTACAGCTTGTTTATCAGGATTATTTTTTTGTTATTTTTATATTTATAAACCTTTTGAAAACACTTATGAAAATATGAAAATATTCATCACAGAAATTCTAATTATGCTTAAGGTTATACTCTTTTCTGGTTATGCTATTCTAAAATTCAATTAAAACAAAGACCCAGCCGAAGTTTTATGTTTGATTAATGTGAAGTATCAATTATAAAAAAACATTTAATAAGTAGATTTACTATAGGTGGTTCACATTAATGCTTGTTTCACCTTGTTCATTTAGATTCACTAATAATTATTAAAATATACTCATTCCTCTTTGCATATATATTCTAGATGGATAAAATTTCGATTAACTTTCATTAAAGGTTTTATTAACTAGAATTTAGAATTTTAAGAACACCAATATTAAATCTATTTGAGAATTCCAAAAAATATCCACTTTATCAAAATTGATTTTGGATACTATAATCAATTTCAAAATAGTTAAAATTTCTAACACCTTTAAATAATCTTTTGTGACCATCTTTGTAATTTTATTATGAAATTGAACCTATAATAAATGAATATTGTGTACCTTATTGTTGCATGCTTTTTTTTGATTTAATATTTTGTCTTCCCTCCTCTATTAAAATGGGGAATACTAAATATAAAGCATTAATTCTAGAGCCCAATCCAGAATTCATCTTTATTAAAATATGCATTAATTTGAATCAATAGCAAATGCTTTCTTCGATTTAAAAATACAAAATATATCTAAATTATCTATTCCTAAAGTCAATCAAAAGTCTTTTTCTACAAAAATAAAGATTAATTAAATTAAATGATAATCTAAAATTACAACTAATGAAAAATGAGTATTAATTTTAATTATTTGAATTAATATAAATGAATAATGTTATTATTAACATTTTAGAAAAATTAATTGAAAAATAAATAGTTTAAGAACAAAAGAAAGGTATATTACATATTTTATTCCTAAGGATATTGATTTTTTAGAATGGGTGTATTGAATTAGGAAATTTATTTTATATATGGAGTTCATTTAGGACCTTTATTAACTCCTTTTTTATTTGATATCTATTTTAATGAGATAATTGAAAAATTAATTAAATATACAAAAATTAGACGATAAATCGTAGTATCAGATAATTAAAAATGAAATTTCCTTTATAATTTTGTTAATAAGCTTGATGTCTTAGCAATAGTTTGAAATAGTGAAATCTTGAATGAATTATCAATTAAATTTGTTTTTCGAGCTGAATAATATCACTTTTCATTTAATCTAGGAATCTAAAGTTTTTATAGAACAAAAGAATTCACAATCTGGTATGGATTAATCAAAACAGAAAATATTTTAAATACTTAAGAAATTATATTAATAACTGAGGAGATCTTAAATTGGTTGCCTCTTTTAACTTACTGTCTTTAAGATACATGACATAAATGTGGAATACTTACATTAGACCACATATTTAATATTACTCCCCTGCACTGCACAATTAGGATAAGGTTTCGGAGAAATTAAAAGATTAGTCTCTTAAATTAACTCTTGGACCTATATCTTTATCCAATAAAATTATTTGATAACCCATTAAATTATTCGATTTTCAAATCCTTTTTTTAATTAATTAATATAATATTAGGGAATCATAAGAAATGGTAATCCTTATAAGACATTTTTAAGTCAATAAAATGAAGAATTTAAATCAGTTAAAACGAAGCGATTGCAAATTTTATACTTTCCAGATTATGGATATCTAGAAAGTTTTAAGTATAATTAGTTATAATTTAAGTCTTGTTAAAAGGTCTAAAATAGAAGTTTGAACACTTAGCAGTTCATAATCAGCAACAAACTTTTTGAATAAATTGTTTATCTAATTGAGATATGGTATTCATGTCTTAATGGGTCTGGAGCAAGTTACCAATTTCTCCTAATCTCTTCAATTTCTTATTTTGAAAATCTCCTGGTTATCAAAAGAACATTTTTATTTATAGCTGTATTTTCTTCAAGCTAATTTCTTGATCTGTGGATTATTTATTTATATTTTAGGTCTCTCGAAAGGATATCCCTGATCTAATTAGAGTTTTGATGCACTTATGACCAAATCACTGATGGCCTTAGGGGAAATTGCAAATCATTCATCTCATATATGGATTATTGGGTTTAATTTTTAAATTTGATTAATTACTTCTTTTAATTTTGAATTTTTTAAATATTCTTAATGAATCAAGAATTTGCACTTTTTTATCTAATTTTATAGCTATTCTTAAACTGATGTTTTATTGAAAATGGAAACAAATAGTAACTTATTGAAGATGATAATCGGTTTATTTCTACACTTTATTAGAATAATAATAAGTGTGGGGAGAGTGCAGAAAGACAATCTGTAAATCATTTATAAAACTATCTCTTATTAAGTAAAGATTTGTGGATATGTCCTGATAAATCAAAGAGAAAGTTTAAGGTTATTATTTTGATGCCTTAGGGCTTTAAGAACTCACTCTTCTTGCTATTTTTGAGGCTTTACCTACAGTATAGTTGCTCATGACTTTATATAATTTTCAAGTCTCTTTAATTAACGTATTATTATTAATTTTTCTCAACATATATTTTGATATCATCTTTATACCTTTTACATTTAATAGAAAAAGTACTAATTAATGCTATTTCAAATAATTGTTAGGAATACGCATATTAATTTGGTCTCAAAATTAAAAAAATATTAAATACTTGCAATCAAAAATTTGATTTATTAATTGAAACTTTTTCACAATGCTATAAATATAAATATAGCTAGTTCAAATGCATTTTTAATTATTAACTTGAAAGATGGTATTATATTCACAATACCATTAGAAATTCGACATGAAGGAGTCTTAATATCATCTTCGGGATGCTTGAAATATATTAATAAATAGATACATTATAATTATAGAGAAAAATAATGCATCTAGGGACTGAATGTAGAAATTGGTTATAGAGAACTGCAATTGAATTAATTTTTGTGATCAGTTATAAGCATCTTCTCTTGCGTATGTGATTTTGAGAGATAAATTGGTTTACTCATTCTATTTACAAAATATTAAATATATTTGAAAAGAATAAATAAAAAATTACTTTCAAATAATATAGATATGAAATATTAAACTAAAGCCGTTTCAGAAAGAACAAAGAATGAATAACTTTAAATGGTTCCAGTATCGAAAAAAACATATTAATAAGTCTCATACATAGTCTCTAACAGACTTCATTTTTACGGGGCAGACAACAACTTACAAGTCTACATTTCATAAAAAATATTTATAGAAATTTGAAATGAAATTCTGAGGTAAGAATGATACTTTTGACGATACCAAATCTACCCATAACAGATCATAAGTTTATTCTTAACTATACTCAACTTAAAAAATTAGAAAAAGTGATTCTTGGGTGTTACTCTCGATTAACTCAATTTATTATTAACATCTAATAGAGTAAGAAAAATATAATAATAAAAAAAGAGGAGAAGACAATAATTTTTATTTGAAAAATACTTTAAAAAATTTTCCTTTTAATCTTTATGATTGTTATACAAGAAATTCAGCACTTTTTTTCTATTTGTTTTTCATTTGGTTCTTAAATTTTTGATCCCTGCCAATTAAACAAACTAATATCAAAAATAATCTTTCAATTACTTAATCATTTCTTCCAATTCATTATGGTATTTTTTGAATGATCATTTAGAAAAACAAATTACTTATAGTTTTCTTATCTTAACAGATATATTTTTCTTTACTTTCTCAAATGCTCATTAGATCTATTTTATTAAAGAGATTAACCTTTTCTGTATACAATACTCATTCAATACCCATCGTTCAAGATTATACAGTGTTAAATGAATTAGTATTATTTGTTGAAATTGTTTCTATAATAAAACCCTTACTGCTTTAAAGTGTATAAATTCATATAATATTACTTAAATGTCCTAACATCCTCAAAACCGAACATTATATTTTATTGTCTCAAATGGATAATTATCAAATTGATCTCTTTTTAATTCCTATTTTATGTCATATTAGCTTAAGTATGCATTGATATGATATCATTTTATAACTTACTTAATAAATTTCATTAGCATTCAAAATTGTTGTTGATTTTTCCAATTTACAAACTTATCTGATGATTAGATATTTACAAGTCGATTATTTTAATAATTCCTGGACAATTTTGTATTCAGGTCAGCATCTTCGCAATATCCCTGCATTATTAAAAATAATTCTTTATCAAGACAAACTCGCTCCAGGTTTATTAATTATATACAAAATATTGCATTCAACATATTAAACCCTACTAGTCACAAGAGAATCAATTGTTAAAGATGCAATCAAATTTTTTATGGCTGCTATATTTTTCTGATGTTTTTTTATCAATTTGTAATTGAGAACTATTTAAATATTAATTAATTATATAAAATGGTTTTATAAGGTAGGTTTATAAAAGATTAATGTAAATAATTAAATTAAAAATGTATTAACCAAATATGATAGAAAATGAAAAAAATCTTCATTGTTTAACATTAATTACTTGTAGCAATGGTTATTCTAGATTCTTAATTAACATAAAATTAAAGACTTTTGTGTTAGGAATGTATTGAAAATTTTGAATCTGACTAAAAAGATAAGACAATTGGATTTAAAAAGTTATTTAGAAGATTGAAAAAAATAAATAGAAAGAGTTAAATAACATAGAAAATCTAATTGTAACCAATATTATATTAGTTAAATCATTATAAATTCAAATCAATAATTTAAAATCTAAGGTTCTTTAATAATTAGATCAATTACTTAATAATACCAAAGATTGGATATTAAATTTAAAATAAACAGGATCTAAATATTCAGAGTATAGTTTCTTCAAAGAATTAGATTTAATAATCGATTAATAAAATAATAAAGATGATTAAATTAATTGTTAACATCAAATTAAAATATTTAATGAAAGTTAGATTACAAAAATCAATTATAAATTAGAGTGATTCAAATCATTTCAATAATATCAATAATTATGGAATATATTGAACAAACTAAATGAATAAACATCAAATATGGCTATAATTTAATAGCAATAAAAATAATAATAACAATTAAGTCCAAATCAATTATTATTTATAGATTATACAATTGAATAAGAAGAGGATTGTAATTCTATTGTTCAATTATATTATGTAAATAAATGAATAGCAATAAATGGTAGGTTTCTAAACCTTAATTTGAGCAAAAGAAAGGGATCTATTGCATAATTTTAACATAAAATGAAGATTAATTAATTTCAGGTAGTGAAGATTCCATGATAAATGTATGGGGAATAGATTTGATGAATAATAAATTAATATTTTTCTATTCTCTATAAAAACATACTAATGTTGTCACCTCATTAAGTTTAAATGAATCAGAAAGATTATTGGCATCATGTGGATATGACTAATAAATTATAATTTGGTAAAAAGATACAAATAATAAGTGGACTTTTTAGTAAGTTGTTATAGTGATTAAAAATCTATAATTTAAAGAAAGTTTTATATATATTAAATAAGTAATAATTGATAGCTATCTTTTGTAAAGATATTTTATGAACAACTAGTAACAAGTTCTACTAATAGCTGGTAGTTAGTTTTCGAAATAATAGTAATTTTTGTTTCAAATAAAGCAAAGAATATCCTAAAAAACAAGAATTGTACATAAATTTATAAAATCAATAACATTAGAATTAAAAATCTAGAGATACAAAAAATTTTATTATTACTTATTTTCTTTTTATTCTCTGTTGTTTTGACTTATGTGAAATATTAATTTCATTGCATTTTTTGTTGTAATATATCATGATTATGAAAATAGATAAATACATTTGAAATAAAATATCTATGATAATGTATTAATACTTAAAAAATTCTAAATTAATCAAATTAAAAAAAATACACCAAACGCCCAACATTGTAAATACGAAATTAAAATGAAGTTGTGATATATGAAATAACTTATTATTAATTTGTTNGACTACTTTCATTTAACTAAAATATTTTTCTATTTTCTAAAAAATACAATATTTTGGTTTAGAAATATTAGCCTGAAGGAAAACATTTATAGAATAATGAAAAAACCTATATTAAAAAAGTGAAAATCAAATTTTAGAAGCATAAAAAGACAAACAGATAATTTTGAATATTCTTAATTTAATTGTTTTTAGAATTAATTATTAGTTAGTTCATCCTCAATTTAATATCTCATGTCTTTTTACCAATCTAACTAATTATTAGAGAAGTTATGTTTATTATTTCTTATTTTTGATTAAGATTATTTTTATTTTTTATAGCAATATCAAATGAAAAAATAATTAGGAAATCGAAAACTAATGGGATTCAATTCTAAAATTTTTGGATATATAGACTTAAATGTATTATTATAGTATGGGAATGAAGAATTTACATAAGGGTTGTTGAAGGAAGTAGATTAAAACTGGCTTAAGGATTGGTCTACGACTGTATATGGCAACAATGAGTGAAGGACGGAACATCGGTTGTGGTATAATGTGAATTCCCAAGTGAACAATTTTTCATCATTTATTAATATTATAATTAAGTAGATCTTCAAAAATATTGGATTAAATAATCTAATAATTTATTCTTCTAATCAGGTTAAATGTTAAAGTAAAAATACTTTATCATTCAATTTAGGAATCCAATTATTAATATATATTAAATAAGTAATAATTGATAGCTATCTTTTGTAAAGATATTTTATGAACAACTAGTAACAAGTTCTACTAATAGCTGGTAGTTAGTTTTCGAAATAATAGTAATTTTTGTTTCAAATAAAGCAAAGAATATCCTAAAAAACAAGAATTGTACATAAATTTATAAAATCAATAACATTAGAATTAAAAATCTAGAGATACAAAAAATTTTATTATTACTTATTTTCTTTTTATTCTCTGTTGTTTTGACTTATGTGAAATATTAATTTCATTGCATTTTTTGTTGTAATATATCATGATTATGAAAATAGATAAATACATTTGAAATAAAATATCTATGATAATGTATTAATACTTAAAAAATTCTAAATTAATCAAATTAAAAAAAATACACCAAACGCCCAACATTGTAAATACGAAATTAAAATGAAGTTGTGATATATGAAATAACTTATTATTAATTTGTTAATTAGATTCATACCTATCATAGGAGTAGTTGGATTGAGAGAATACAGTTAGTGGATAGAAGTTTTTGGAAATGCTAATGGGATTTTATGTCCTGAATTACATACATATATTCCGGATATGCACCCGCATTAATGTGTTTGTAAATATTATCATTATTCATATTCATAGCTTATGCTACCATTTGTAAAGGTGTTACAGAGGCAGAAATAAAAACTGAAGTAAATGGAACTTAATATGTTTGTCATCCAAGATTCTAACCATTTGATGAAGGGACTCCAACTAAAGGAGATTATTCCTTTCATTGCGGAAGTGATTTTGGCTAAACATTGATAATGGAGAGGTCTTTAGATGGACATTATAAATTTTATTGTAAAGGTAGAAACAATCAATACATTAGAAAATTTATATCCTAAAACATGTTTGATATAAGATAAACAAAGATGCCAATATTGTAAATTCCCATTCTTTGGATTTGAGTGTGAATCTGTTCCTTAATATTATGATAGGACATAAACTAATCCTGTTAGAAGTAATAAAAATAATTATTAAAGAATGTGATGGATAATGTGAGGAATGTGATTAAAATAAAGTATGTTCTGCTTGTAGATTTGATTATGAAAAAAACAATTCAACAGATAATCTTTGCTCTAAAAGTAAGTTAAAATTTCTAATAAGCATAGAATGCTATGGTTTAGCACTTTGTGCACCAATTAAAAAAGACAGTTCGAATACTGATGATATGTGTAGAACTGGGTTTGGTCGTTGGCTTACAACTGTTTATGATAATCTACAATGTGTTTGTAATTATATTCATATAAATACCTTTAGAGGTTTTGCCATGTTTAAAGGCTCAGTCTATACCCGGTGTAGTAGGATTTTAGTGTCTAAGTTGCAGTTAAGGATTTTTTCTAGCATTATATTTAAAATAAGAAGGTCTCTAAAAGTGTTTTTCTTATGATTAAAATTGTCCCATTAACTATTAAGATAAATATGTGTCTTATGAGAGTATCGTTGAAATATTATATAATACAAAATGCAGTTAATGCGATCCAGGATTTCATTTCAAAGATGGCATTTGTCAAAGTAATTGTTATTCTAAAATTTTATTTAGAAGTAAAGGAAATTTAAGTTAATTGTATACTACTTGACCCAACTGGACTTAATTGTATAGCTTGTATTCCATCTTATGCATTACATCCAGATGGCACATGCTAATAGTACCAATGCGATCCAAAATGTATAACATGTTTGGATACCAATCCAGAGTATTGTACCACTTGCGATAGCTTGAAATATGAAATAGCTGAAAATGGTATCTGCAAATGCAAACCAGAATATGGTTTGCAAGAGGGAAACTGTGTTCCTTGTACTGAAGTTAATTGCTACGATTGTCTTGATGATTTTTAATTCTGTATTTTGTGTAAACCAGGATAAAATAGAATAGTAGAAAACCAATAATGTGTTTGTTAACCAGGATCATATGATCCCCAAAATGAAGACTAGATATGCCTTGGTAAATTAATATAATGATTTCTAGCTTGTGACTATTCTTGTCTAAATTGTTTTGGTCCATCAAATGTAGAATGTACTAAATGTTTAGATGAAGACATCTCAAACAGAATTTTAGTTTACAATTCTTGTCAATGTAAAATTGGATATGCTGATTTTCAACTACAAGAATCAAAATGTGGAAGTATTTTGAATGTTAAGTTTAGAATGCCATCCCAGGTGTGTTACATGTTCCTAAGCAGCAGATGAGACTACAAACTAATATTGTCTAACTTGTATTCCAGGAGAAAATCGAGTTGTTTCTGCTCAGCTAAAATGTGAATGCTAAGAAAATTATGGTGATAATTTTGGCACCAAGGAAGTTTGTTTTAGTACTTCTATTAAATATACATAGTATGCGATTATACTTGTGGGAGTTGTGATGATGCTGGACCAACACATTGTGTTGAATGTTTAGAAAAATCTGGTAGATATTTGACAGCTTCAGGAGAATGTTTATGCAAAACTTCATATTTTGATGATTAAACATAAAATATAGAGTGTTCAAGTAATATTAATAAGATATCATAAATAGAATGTCATTACTCATGTTTATTATGTTAAAACTCAGCTTAGAGTAATGCATGTTTGCAATGTCCTTTAACTAGGGAACCTAGTGATCCATTAGCTACAACATTTGAATGTAATTGTGCGTCCTTAAACTCTTTTGATGATGGAGTTTCACCAAATTGTCCATCATGTGATTATACTTGTTAAACTTGTAATGGTCCTCTTTCATCTAATTGTTTAACATGCGATTCAACATATCGATAATTAGATTTATCAACTTGTGTATGTCTAATTGGATATTATGATATTGGATAATTAGAATGTGCAAGTAAGGATTATTAAATATTAATAGAATGTCATTATTCTTGTTACTAATGTTTTGATAGTACTATAGAAGGTTGTATTTCTTGTTCTATGGATCTACATTTTAGACTATTAAAAGGTAATATTTGTAAATGTATTGATGGATATTATGATGAATTAGGAAATGCTAAGTGTAAAAGTAATTTTTATATTTAAAAATCAATTAGAATGTTCATATAAATGTGCAACATGTGAAACTCAATCAGATAAGTGTTTGGATTGTCCATTAAATTCCTTACGTACTCTTGATCCCATTAAGGGATGCTTTTGTTAAGGAGAGTATTATGAAAAAGAAAATGAAATAGCTTGTTAAAGTAATTTTAAAATGAATTATAGAATGTCATTTCAAATGCAAAGCCTGTGATGGTTAAAATCAAAATAATTGTGTCTCTTGTGATTCTGTTGCAAACAGAGAATTAAAAATTAATGAATGTAAATGTTAACCACATTACTTTGAAACGGAAGTTTAGGAATGTGCTGGTAATATTATATCTAAAAGATAGTTTGTAGTTCATTTTGTTATGAATGTATTAACAATTTTGATAATTGTACTTCATGCGCAAATGATAGATATTTAGTAGGAAGTACATGTAGGTGTATAACAAAATTTGACGGATCAGAAATAAGTACATTTGATTATAACGGATTGGTAAAATGTTAAAGTAATAAATAAAAATAATCATTAGAGTGTCATCATTCATGTGGAACATGTTTAGGAATTGAAGAAGGTGATTGCCTTAATTGTATAGAATCTGATCACAGATACTAAGTAGGAAATACTTGTGTTTGTGATGAAGGATATTTTGATGCAGGATTGCCTGTCTGTCAAAGTATTAAAAATTTATAATTAATAGAATGTAATTATAAATGTAAAGGATGTTTAAAGTAAATAGAAAGTTGTATTTCTTGTCCAGATAACAGCTTTAGATAATTTGTTTCAGGTTTTAATAGATGCTAATGTATAGAAAGATATTATGATGATGGATAGAATGAAATTTGCTAGAGTATTTATAACTTTTATTAATTTTAGAATGCCATTATTCATGTCTCAGATGTAATGATATTGAAACAAAATGTGAATTGTGTTCAATTTAATCTGATAGAATTTACAATGATTAGCTTTTTTCTTGCGATTGTAATATCGGATATTATGATATTGGAATTGAAAAATGTTAAAAATGTCACTACTCCTGTTTAAGTTGCAATTCTGGAGATGCTAATTCCTGTGATTCATGTTTAGCTATGAATGATTCAAATAGAGTATTTTATATAAATACCTGTAAATGTTTATTTGGGTATTTTGATGATGGTTAATCACCATAATGTTAAAAATGTGATATTCAATGTCTAAGTTGTATTGATCATTCTTATTAATGCTAATCATGTCCATAAACAAGAAAAATAGAAGCAAATTGTAAATGCCAATTAGGCTATTATGATGTTGGTTTATAACTTTGTTCAAAATGCAGTTCAAAATGCCAGACATGTGAAATTTCACCAAATAATTGTACTTCATGCAATTCTATTGAATTTAGAGAACTTAACTTAATAACATAAACTTGTGATTGCTCAATAGGTTATCTTGAAATTAATGGTATCTGTGAGTAATGCTATTAAAGTTGTAAAACATGCATTTAATCTATCAATAAATGTAATTCTTGTGTTTAATTTCGAATTTTGAAGAACGATGATTGCATTTGTAATGATGGAATGTACGAATCAAATTCTGATAAACAATGTAAATTATGTAATAAGACTTGCTTAACCTGTGCTAATTTAAGTAATTACTGTTTAACATGTTCTACTGATAATTTTCGATATTTTAAATCTGGAAATACTTGTGATTGTATGATAGGTTATTTCGAAAATTCAATTAATTAGAATTGTGAAAAATGTGCAAGTTCATGCTTGACTTGTTCCTTATAATATGATAATTGTTTGACTTGTGATTCTAATCTTAATTTATCCTTGGTAAATAATAAATGTTTATGCTCATAATCTTATTTTTTTGATTCTATGAGTAATTCATGCTAATGTAATATGAAATTATTTAAATTAAGAATGCCATTTCAGTTGTTTAGAGTGTAATAATAATAATGAATGTACTTCATGTCTATTGACAACTAGACATTTAGATGTAGATTAAAAGAAGTGTATTTGTCATAATGGATATTTTGAGACAAATTAAAAAAATTGTTCATGTATAAGAACATTATATAATATATAGAATGCCATCTATCATGCGAGACTTGTGAAAATAGTAATACTTATTGTTTAAGTTGCATTAATTAATACCATAGATTATTAGTAAACAACACATGCTAGTGTATAAATGGCTATTATGAAGCTGGAATTGAATTATGCTAAAAATGCAATAATATTTGTAAAACATGCTAATCATCTGCTAACTCTTGTTTATCTTGCTATGAAATAGAACATTTCAGGTATTATTAAGGAAACAAATGTTTATGCTAGCCTGGATATTTTGAATAAAATACAGAGATATGTTTAAGTAAAAAATATATTAATTACATAATAGAATGTTCTACAGAATGTTTAACCTGTTAAGGTTCAGCTGACTATTGTACAAGTTGTGATACTAATTCTAAACGATTTGATTAATCATTTATCCATAAATGCCCTTGCATTACTGGATTTTATTCAGATGAAAATAACATATGTTAAAGTAAATTTGAAGATCTATATTAATAGAATGTCATATCAAATGTTAAACTTGTATAAATTAAAGTGACTAATGCTTAAGTTGTAATTATTAAGTAAATTCCAATCGAAATTCTCTATCTGAGTAATGTAATTGTAAATATGGCTATTTTGATGATGGAACATAACTTTAATGTTAACAGTGTAATTTTAAGTGCAAAACTTGTGTAAATGATAAAAATAATTGTGAAATTTGCTAAAATTCAATAAGAATAAATCCACCAAAATGTGATTGCATGAATGGATACTATGAAGATGAGTAATCTACTTGTTAAAGTAAATTATTATCTTATTAAAGTTTGTGCACCTCAATGTGATACATGTCTATTAGAGCCCACAAACTGTTTGACTTGTAAACCTGGAAGAATTGAATAAGATTGTAAATGTATTGATGGTTTTTTTGAAACTGGATAAGCATTATGCTAATGTATCAATTATAAATTTTATTAAGAATGTGCATTTTAATGTGTTACGTGTGATTTTTATCAGCTTAATTGTAAGACTTGTAAAGGTGATAGATTTTAAGAGCCTTAATGTATTTGCTAATCTGGGTATTTTGATGATCAATTAAATGAAAATTGTTAAAAATGTGATAGTACTTGTTTAGAATGCGATATTAATGGATGTTTATCTTGTTTTGCCAATAGAATACTAAATCAAGATATGGAATGTATTCCTCCACCAAATTCAATTTGGTATGATGATACGCCTTGGTGTTCAAGTACATTATTCTAATATATATATTTAGCTTGCCAAGTTGCAGTTATTAAGGTGTATTTATCTGATGATATTAGTAAGATTATAATACATTTTGAATTTCCTTTGAATCCTAAGGGCTTCAATTCATAAATTGAAATTAATAAATGTTTATAATTATTCGAAGTAGAAACTGTATTAAAATTTGGATAAAATTCTGATTGTTATATTAACTAGAAAAATAATTAAGAATTGTTAATATCTGTTGGAGAATATTCAAAATTAAAAATTGGTGAAGAAATTCTATTTAAAAGTAATTCCATTTCCCATATCAATTGCGAAACTACTATAGAAAAATTTATCTTCTCTATATTAAAGATGCCAATAAACCCTTTACCTCCATTAATTGAATATAATGTACCTCATCATAAATTGAACCCTTTTGCGGATAATTCAGTGTATTTAAAATCAATCAAAAATAATGGAAATAGAAAATTAGATAATATTATTTGGAGTTGCCAAGTCAAAGCTAGTGAAAATAGTTCTACTCTTAGGGAATTCTTAGATTAAATTAATTTTGTTTAGGAATATAATCTATTCATACCCAAAAATACTTTACCAGCTGGGGCAGAAATACAATTTAAAATATAATATGACAATTTCATCCTTATTTCCTCTTATTCAGAATTTATAATATACACTCATATAGGAGATCTTCCATAAATTAATATAAATGTCAAACCTTCTTATTTTGTATATGAAACTATTATAATTGGGATTTCTGCTGGTAATTTAGATTAATAAATTTCAAAAGATAATTATAAGTACTAGATTTAACTGTTCGAAATAGATAGATTTCCATTAAAATCTTCTTCTTCATAATTAAATATATCAGTTCAATCCAATTCTTTTGAGTAAATCAATGCAAATATTTAATAATACACCTTAAGTCCTAATTCAACTTATACCTTTTAAGTTATTGCTACAAATTTATAAACTTAGAAATTTCAATAATAAGACTTCACTATTAATATTCCATTTGGTGGATTAATATGCTAATTTAATAATGGAGGGATATAGAATATAAGACAAGATTTAAATCTCTTAATCTATTGTAAAGATTTAGACACAAAATATGATTGGAACGATGATCTTGATTTGTTGATAAATGTAGACTGTAGGGATTTATCATTAAATAGTACTTGTTAAACTGGATAAAAATAAATCATTAAAGTTAATACAACGGATACGTATTAATTCATCAAAAGGAATACTATTTCCTCTTATTCAGTATAAGAATGGACCGTTAAGGTGACAAAATTTCAATAAACTTAGAAATTTGTTTTGATAATTGTTTATCTTGATAATGATTTTCCAGTATTAGAACTAGAATTTAACAAGGGCTACTTAATGAGAAAAATCAATAATTTTGAATAACTTAATTTTACATTTTTAATCCCTTTCGATTAAAAACCTTAACTATTAGAGTTTTCAATTGCAATAATATACAACTATGAATTAATTAAAATACATTAGCCTAAATATGTTTCATATTAATTCAAGATATTTGATAGTATCAAAGAATTAAATTTTGGAGATACGATCAATTTAAAATTTTTAGCCTAATATACAAACAGTATTATGCCAAGTCTATATAATTTAAAACTATCTATAAATTAGCCCCCCCAATGTTCAAAACTGTTTGTTACTCGCTCAAGTGACCTAGCACTTACCGAAATCAATGTAACAACTACATGCGAACAATCAAATGACTTTCCGTACAGATATTAACTAAAATTATTTTTGAGAGAAACAGATCTGACAGGGTTTTTGCAAGGATAATTGGACAATTCTTTAACTTTTCATTCATTTTAGGATAAAAATGTATTCTCATTATAAATTCCTTAATCTGTTGACTCCTCAACAGTGGGAGTCCTTATTTAAGTGCTTGATAGTGGAGGGTCAATATCTCAAATTTTTGAAAGAATAACTTCATAACCTGGTAACATTAATTGTTCCTAATCTTAATATTAGAATAATAATTTATAATATATAGTATCATTGTTATTTGAAGCAATGAATCAGAATTGCAGTTAATTATACCAAAAAATATATCGTGATTTGCTTTATGGATAAATTTTGCAAGATTCAAATGATAATAATCTCAAATTTTAGGCTATAAAGTTATACAATTAGTTTTAACAGGCAAAAATTAAACCTAAAAATCGTCTATTAAATGAAGAAAATCCATTGATATGCTATGATGTAAATACAACTCATTATTATGTTACATAAAAATCATCTGAAATTCAGACCAATTTATCACAAAAAATAATAGACTTTTAAAATAATATTGTTAATTTAAACAGAACTTTAAAATATTTAATCTAAATAAAAAAAGAATGTGAAGATGAACTTTTACGAAATTAATACATTTGGAATGAAGAGATATTTTAATAGTTATAATACTCTTAAGACAGTTTACTAAATCTATTATATTTTCTTGATGATATATATTCAGATTTTTCAAAAATTAATACAAAAAATGAAACAATCTATCAAATTATTTTTGATTTATTAAATTACATTCCAAAGATTGTATCAGAAATATAAAACACAATACTTGTTAACGATAAGCCTGTAGTTGTTTAAGGAGATGAGATTCTTTGGTAAATTAAAAGAAGAACAAAATCAGACTTCAATAAGATTTTTTAGATTGAAGCAACATAAGAAGATTATCTTTTAGATTTTATATAATTTGAATAAACATCATTAGTATCAAATCCATTAAGATTTACTTCCGACCTTGATAATCAACTGTAGCAAGTCTTTAACGATCAAACTTTAAAAATTTACTCTTAAAATTACAACTAAATAAAATTATAAAACTTTTATAAAAACAGATTTCTTTAATTTGATAGTTTTCCTTCCACATACAGTACAAAGTTTGGAACCTATTAACTTTGTTTAAATGATACTTAAATAATAAAAGTATATGAGATGTAGTGTGTACTTAGAACAATATCTGGAGACTTTCATAAGTGCAAATTAAATAGAATTCTTAAGAATGATACAATGGAGTAAAATTGCGAGTGTAATAAGTTTGGAGAAATTTTCCTTACAACCTCCTACAATCTAAGTAAAGTAATTGTAAACGATACTTTTGAATAAAAATAGCAGTTTGATAATTTTTACTTATCACAATATTTTTTGCTATTGCTAATTTGTGTTAGCTCTTTAATATTAATACAATTGGTAATCTACATATTCTATCTCATCAAAGATTGCAAAAACTAACAAAAAAATTCTGTATAAAGTAAAATAGATCCGCAAATCAATTTGGATAAACAAACACTTATTTATATTGGAAATTCTGCAGTTTTCAAACAAAAATTTAAAGTAATAATTAATTTTATCAATAGTAAATCCATTAAACTATTTCATTTTTATATTATAGAGACTAACACATTCAACTTAGTTATAGGATTTTAGAAGTACTCTCATAATTCAATATATTATTATGTTTAACAATTATTGAATGCTATGATTAAATTAATCAAATTCTAATTATTTGTGTTCTAATTGTTGCAAATCCTATTATCATTTTGATTTTGAGAATAATTTATAAAATAGTTGAAGCTATTTATAGATTCGGAAAAATTGCAGCTGCTATTAGTAACTTTATACTAATAATTTTATTGATGGCACCCAACGTTGTCTTACTTATATTTTACTAATAAAAGTAATTTATTATACTATTAAAGAATATAAATATAATTAGGATAATATTAAGTTGCCATAATCTTTTTTGGAAATATTGTAATATGGCAACTTCTTATTGAACCAATTACAGTCTTTGCTAGAATCATTGTTTATAGATTGATAGCCTCAAGTCTAAAAAATATGGAGATGAATTCTATTTACCATTTGATGCATTTTTTTGTAATGCATAGCAGTTTAGAAGAAATATTTGAAGAGTTTACAAAAATATGATAAATATATAAAGTATTTAGATATTTATAATAATTCAAGATTTTTTATATTTTATGAAAATATTTTTGATTACCTAATAAAGTAATAATTTAAAATGAATAATAAAGTAATTAATTTAATGTGCTTGAATTATATGATTATTTTCCCCTTCTGTAAAACCTTTAGAAGCATGTAGAAAATATCAGTTATTTTAATAAAATCTTAAATAAAGATCTTGCATTTATATCATCTATATTGTTTAAAATTTTACATATAATCAAGATGAAATATTTTATATTACTATACAGTTTTAAACTTTTAAATACTTCATTTTTTGACACCAAAAATATCCAAAATTTTTTGAATATATCATCAATAATTTTTTAATTTTTTAGAACTTTAGTTAATCAAAAAAAGCAATCTTAAAAAAGACATTATATTATTTTTTGATCATTAGTACTTTTTTAGCATTATCAATAAATTCACAACCTATTATGGAAAGTGATATTTAAGGAATTCCAAAGGAATAGAAAAACTTGCAATTTAGGTTTAAATATTATAAAGTAAACAAAAATAATTTTGGAATAATTATATTAGATATACTCACTTCAAATCAACAAAAAAAGATATCTTTCAAAACAATTAAGGAGTCAGGAATTAAATTTGATGGATCCTTTTGGAATACATGATGAATAATCAAATGACTTTTTTTTCTTTTTATTAAGAAAATAATAACTTTATAATTGGAGAACCTAACTAAAAGTGGCTAATCTAATTAATGAAAAAAAAATCATTGAATGCTTTAATTCAATTTTAATGCACTGAAATTTGAAAAATTTGGAAATTTTGCAAATTAAGCTTTTTCTATTCTTATAAATTAATTTCAGCCAACTAAAATACTATAATATCATTATAATTCCTGATCCACATTATTTTATCATATCCGCCCATACTTTTTTACAGATTTTTGTTTAATTAAAAAAAAAATTAAATAACAACATTCTCTTTTAAAATCATTATCAATCAAAAATCTAAATTAAGCGTTATTCATCTTGGATTTGGCCATTCCATCCTCAATTTTTTGATGGATTGAAGAATAATATTTCTCTTAGATATTAGAGATATGTTTTGACATTTAGATTTTATGTGCCTGTCTATTTTCTATTATTTAAAGAATCATTATTTTCTTTTCAGATTTTTTAAAGAATTTAGTCAATAAAAAAGAAATAATCTAAATGAATTTATTTATAAACGTATTCTTTGTAAATTTTTGATTGATCTTTTTTATTTTAGTAAATTCCTTAAAAATATATAATTTTTATATGCAATTAGGAAAAGTTTCAAGCAATTTTAGTTTAAATATTATTTATCATATATGTAACATATTAAACAAATACAAATTGGAAATTATATTTATATTATAATTTATGATAAAATAAACAATTATTGCAACTAAATGTGTATATAAGAGTTAAACACATTATGCCAGCGATTTCAATAATAATTGTTTAAAAGAAATAATGTAACTGCTAAAGATTACAGAATTATTAGAATGCCCTATACCTCAGTCAAATGATCTAAACTAGGTATCTTCCATCCAATTAAGAGGTGGTGGATGCTGTGGTATAAATTAGGTTTATAGTGATTCCATTTATAGACATTAATAATATGAAGAAAATTTTGCATCTAAATTATAAACATTTACTAACATAATTGTTGAAAAATCTTTAAGTTTTCAAGATAAAATGAATTAAGATGAAGTACTTACTGCATTTTAGTGGTTTTACAATAACAAGGAGAAATTTCAAATTCTGTGTAATGAGGAGTCTTTAAATACAACAAATTATTTACTTATAGAAAAAACTGTAGAATAATTAATGAAATAACTAATTACGTATATTAGACTTTCAGGTTTTCTATTTTATTCATTGCTCTAAATTTGTAATGATTTATTTAGAATAATATTTTCATATTAATTAAAGAATGTTGATAGATATATGTAGGAAGATTAAAAAAAAAAATATTTAGAATATATCTAAGAAATTGAATCGCAAATATAAGTAGAAGCAATCAATATTTGGCTTAATGGGGTGGAATTCGAACTATAAATGATTAAAACCTGCGTAGCTCATTGTAGGACAAACTCTTAAAAAGGAAAGGAGTTAGTTATATCTATTATGTGCGGTTTACTTTCATCAATATCTTAATTAAAACCCAGCGATGAATTAATATCTTCTGTTATAGAAGGAGGAAAATTCTTACTTTTGAATTTCTATGATAAATAAATTCAAAACCCACTTCAAATATATGAAATCTATTATTATTTCGAAAATTTGAAATGGTCCATATTAAATCAGTTGAAATTAGGTTATTCCATTTAGAATATTATAAAACAAATTACAGATGGATACTCAAAATACATTAAACAATCTAAGGATTGGATGATACATTATTGTTGGGTAAATATGATATCAGATTTAATGTGTTATAGACCAATTGTTTATAAAGATTAATTATTATAAACATTATAATCAGGTACTTCAGTTCAAGATTCTTGGAATTAATTAATCACTTCTAATTAAGTAATTTAATTGCCTTATAACAAATAGGCAGGTAAGCTAAAAATATTTGTAAACTAAAATTTTATATTTAAAAAGTTTTCAACATTAAAATTATTCTAGGAGTATCTCATACAAAGTTCAAATAGTTTTTTATTATTGCCCAACTATATCAATTTTAATTTTAATGACTTTTCAGCTAATTAATTAAATGACGAAGATCTATTGATATAACTAATTACAAATTAATCGAACATTGAATTAATAAATGCTTTAATTAAATAATTAAGGTCTAAAAAGGAGGAATTATTAAATAATTTTGAAGTCGTAAAATAATAATTGAGTTAACATTATTCCTAATTACAAACTGATAAACAAATAGAAATTAAAATAATTAGATAAGAAATAATGTTTTTAATGAATCAAATCAAAAAGTAAAACTTAATTTTGCTGTGTTTAATAAATGAGATAAATTAATTAGTAAATAAGGAGCTTTAAGTAAATTAGATATTCTAAATTATTTTACAGGGACATGAATAAAATTAAGGAGAATAACTAAAAATATTAAAGTAATAAATATTAACTTGTATTGAAGAAGTTGAAACTTCTTTTTTTAAAGAGTTTTTAAATAGTTTACATTCTGTATCATAATTTTGGATATAAATGTGTCACTATACAACTCTTTCTCATCAAGAATTGATAGAGAGAAGTCTTGAATTTGAAAAACTACTTGAACCTTAATTAAACTAAAATAGTTAAATTTTTACAAGCATTAATAATAATCTAGATAAATTTCTGATATAAGTTTCTTCGATAAAGAGAACCTTCTTAAAGATTTTAGAGCAGAAAGAATTTAAAATTGTTATTAAAGAATCTATATCTTAATTTAGCTTAGCTTCTTTAATAATTAGGCTTTACAATCCATAATTGATATTAAAATTGATTCAGGAAATTCATAAACATTATTAAAATATGTTTAAGGAAAAATTATAAATAGAACAAGTGTCTGATGTTCAAAAGATTCTTATTATGGTATATTCTAACTTAAATATTTATAAAGGATTAAAAATGCTTCTTAAAATACATCATAGGAAATTATTTTAGATGTCCTCAAAATTTTAAGGAATGTTTGCAAATTTAAGCACTATCGAAAATGAAAGATAAATATATAATTAAACTGATATAAATGAATACATAAAAATAATAATTATTGATAAAAAAGAGAAGTTACAAGCTTTATTTAATAAGTACAAAAATATAGAATTTACAAAAGATGAATTAGCCGATTTTAATAGCATATCTAATCTTATTAGTAAGGAAATAAATGAAATAAAAAACAAGGATTGGCAAGATAAAATCAAATTCCATCATATAGTTTTATTCTCTGAAATTCTAACTAAATTATAACTTATTGGTTTAGTTTAGTAAGATAAAAACATTATCTAATAAGATATTATCAAATTATTAGATGAACATCTTTTGGAGATGAATTCAAATATACAAACAGATATGGTTTCGTCATAAGTAAAGAATATTTAATAAATGAACTTAGAAAAATCATTAATAAAATTAAGATAAAACGATTTATTTGATTGTGAAAGTTCAATGAAGATATTAGATAATTTAATAATTATTTCATAAAAGTTAAAATTAATATTCAAATAAAATCTTAATAATACTCGCTCCGAAAATTAAGAAACAATACTATAGTTTTTTAATAAGTTTAAAGGTACATATTCATAAAGCCTAAATTAAGTAATAATTGATTTATAACAATAAACATTATAACTTTTTTAATCAATTTATAATAAGGAATAAATTATTTTTGATGAAGAATTTTTGTCAAAACTTCCAAAATAACCTAAAATATCTTAAATCCCTGTCATGATATAAATACTTAGCTTTAATACACTTAGTATAGATGATTAGGAAATAAAGCAGTAGGATGAAAAACCTGATATATTATAAAATATTATTATAGAATTAAAAAAGGGCAATAGAGTTAATTAAGAAAAAGGAATACTTGATATATTTGAAAATTCATCTTATAAAGTGAGGGAATTACTTGTATTTAATTTAATTAAAATGCAATCAATTATCTAAGAATAAACCATTTAAGAGTTTTGTGAAAACTAATTACAATAAATTTGGATTATTGAAAAGCATCCAAGTGTTCGAAATCTACTTAAAAATGACGAAATGATTATGATGCAAAAAAAGTTATTTTCTAAAGATTTACAAAATTTCTCAATTAGATTAAAAGTAGAAATGCAAACAAGATTAAAATAAATAGAGGAACTTGAAACTTAGGTGCTTCTTAGTGATAATTAAGAGGAAATGAAAATATAATTATAACAAGCTTATGATAATTTTGAAATATATTTGGATAATATAACAGATATGTCATAAAGATTAGATATTAGTTTAATTTTTTTAAGAGAAATCAGCAAAGATTTGAAAAAT